AAAAAAAAAAAAAAAAAAAAGGCTTCCTTGAACCTTAAGCTAAGACTCAAGAGATAATAGGAACTGGGGAGATAAACATACATTTCATGGAAAAGGGGGTGAGGTGAGAGGTCAGGATGAGTGTGCTTGTATTCCCCACTCGAGGTTTAACACTGAGGCAGGGAGCATAGAAATACCCGGGTAAGTGTGGAGGAAGCTGGACATTAACTTCCTCTGGTCCAGTTTGGAAGGCTGTCCAGTTCTGTAAGAAGGCTCAGGCAGTGGGGCTCAGAGCAGGCCGTGGCATCGGGAGGAGCTACTCCTGGCTGACTTTTGTATGCAGCACCACGCCTGGCTAATTTTTGTATTTTTAGCAGAGGTGGGGTTTCAACATGTTGGCCAGGCTGGTCCTGAACTCCTGACCTCAGGTGATCTGTCTGCCTCAGCCTCCCAAAGTGCTGGGATTCCAGGCCTGAGCCACCGTGCCCAATGGAAAAGTAACTGTTATTAAAGTTAGTCCAGTGGTTCCAGGAATGCTGAGGCTGACCCAGGAGAAGCAGCTGGGAGTTCTCCTGCTGGAAGCAGCTGCCCAACAGCTTGAGGGGCTCAACTCGGGAAGAAGAGGGCATCAGAGGAACTAGGAGAGCTTAAGAAGGATGGTGGACCCCAAGCTGTGCCTGGCAGTGGGAGTGGGAGGCTGGCTCAGATGGAAAACTGTTGCTAGACTCTGATCCAGGGGTACCCATATCCCAGCCTCCTTCCTGGGAAGACCAGCCTCCCTTTCTAACAGGAATGGGACCCCCGGGATGTTTAAGGTGATGAAATACGCCCACCTGAATGCAGATACTAATTAGACTTGTAAAATGAGAACTCCAGTTCTTAATAGCCCCAATAAAACTGTTGGCCCAGCCAGGCACGGTGGCTCACGCCTGTAATCCCAGCACTTTGGGAGTCCGAGGTGGGCGGATCACGAGGTCAGCAGTTCAAGACCAGCCTGGCCACGATGGAGAAACCCTGTCTCTACTAAAAATACAAAAAATTAGCCGGGAGCAGTGATGTACACTGTAATCCTAGCTAATCGGGGGGCTGAGGCAGGAGAATCACTTGAAGCTGGGAGATGGAGGTTGCAGTGGGCTGAGATTGCACCATTGCACTCCAGCCTAGACAACAGAGCGAGACACTGTCTCAAAAATAAATAAATAGCAGAGAAGCACAAGGCAGGTATAGTTCATTTCCCTCCTCATTCCATTAAGACAGCAGGTGACTTTTATGTTTGTTTGTTTGAAGACGGAGTCTCACTCTGTCGCCAGGCTGGAGTGCAGTGGCGCAATCTCGGCTCACTGCAACCTCTGCTTCCTGGGTTCTAGTGAGTCTCCTGCCTCAGCCTCCAGAGTGGTTGGGACTACAGATACCGTCCTGCCACCATGCCCAGTTAATTTTTGTATTTTTAGTAGAGATGGGGTTTCACCATGTTAGCCAGGATGGTCTCGATCTTTTGACCTCATGATCCGCCCACCTCGGCCTCCCTAAGTGCTGGGATTACAGGTGTAAGCCACCTCGCCCCCCACCCAGGTAACTTTTTTTAAGAAAAAAATTAAAGTATAATACAAGAGGCTCCTATTTATCTATTGTCCAAGGTTTTTCAAATGAGCCAATGAATACTTTTAATTCTTCCAATTTCTTCCCTGCTTTGCACATTGCATTTTTGTCCTGAGCCAGCTGTATGAAGTTATGTGTTGCTCTTGTTTGTGAGAACTATGTTCATCCTTCAGTATACATTGCATAATCTCCTTACAAGAAGCCTCTAAACGTGGCTACATTTCGTAGAACCAGGAGAGCAAGACTGAGAGAGGTAAACGGCTCTACAGCAGAGCGCTGGTTGGAATCAGGTCTGATGAACCCCGTGCATTTTACAGACATAACCACAGAGGAATTAAATAAAATGAAAACACCTTTAACATTAAAAAGCAGTCTAAGAGGGGCTGGGCACAGTGGCTCACACTTGTAATCTCAGCACTTTGGTAGGCCGAAGTGGGCAGATCACTTGAGCCCTGGAGTTTGAGACCAGCCTGGACAACAGAGCGAGATCCCATCTCTACAAAAATAAATAAAAATTGGTCGGGTGTGGTGATCCTCACCTGTAGTCCCATCTACTTGTGTGGCTGAGGTGGGAGGATTGCTTGAGCCTGGCAAGTCGAGGCTGCAGTGAGCTATGATCGCACCACGGCACTCCAGCCTGGGTCACACAGTGAGACCTTGTCTCAAAAATAACAATAAAATAAAACCCCTAATTGCCATTTTATTTTGATGGCACAACTCTAAAACAGCATAAAATCTAAGCATATATGTGCTTCTATAATATTTTTATATAATTTCAAAAACAATTTTGCCAATGCAAATTCGGACATTGCCTCTCCAGTATATAATAACCCCAGGCTGGATGTGGTGTCTCACGTCTGTAATCCCAGTGCTTTGGGAGGCAGAAGCATCGCTTAACGCCAGGAGTTGGGGACCAGCCTGGGTAAGATGACCTTGTCTCTACAAAAAATCATTAGCCAGGCATGGTAGCACACACCTGTAATTCCAGCTAGGAGCCCAAGAGCAGTTAGCAGTGATGGTGCCACTGCACTCCAGCCCCTGGATGACACAGCGAGACCCTGTCTCAAAAAAAAAAAAAAAAAAAAAAAAAACTTTATGCTTTTTAAAAAAATTATTTGAAATAAATTAAGTCCCTTACCTTCAATGTGAGAACCAAATCAAAAGAACATTAGGTTGCAAATGTTATGGGTTACCTTGTGGTAATTTTAAAAATTTTGGGGCCAGGAGCGGTGGCTCATGCCTGTAATCCCAGCACTTTGGGAGGCTGAGGTGGGCAGATCACAAGGTCAGGAGTTTGAGACCAGCCTGGTCAATATGGTGAAACCCTGTCTCTACTTAAAAAAAAAAAAAAAAAAAATGAGCCGGGCGTGGTGGTGCATGCCTATAATCCCAGCTACTTGGGAGGCTGAGGCAGGAGAACTGCTCGAACCCGGCAGGTGGATGTTGCATGAGGCGAGATCCTGCTACACCACTACACCCCAGCCTGGATGACAGCGAGACTCCGT